GCTGATTGATGGGCTATTACGAGTTGGCGGCCGCCTACGACGCGCTTCGATACCTGAAGATGCAAAACATCAAGTTATTATACCGAAAGCTCACCATGTTACAGATCTGATCGTTCGTCATTATCACGAAGTATCTGGACATTCGGGTAGAGAATATGTACTGTCATTGCTGAGGGGATCATTTTGGATCATCCATGCCAATACCGCTGTTCGAAGAATACTAAGTCGATGTATCGATTGTCGTAGAAGGCAGGGATCTCCTGGGGAGCAAAAGATGGCGGATCTACCTGCAGACCGAGTCACTGCAGATCAACCACCATTTACAAATGTCGGAGTAGATTTCTTCGGACCGTTTTTCGTTAAGAGAGGTCGGGCAGAAGTTAAAAGATATGGTTGCATCTTCACTTGTCTGTCGACGAGAGCAGTCCACATAGAGGTGGCCCATTCTCTCGATACGAGTTCGTTTGTATACGCCTTGCGTCGATTTATCGCAAGAAGAGGAAATCCAAACCAGATGAGAAGCGACAACGGCACGAACATTGTCAGTGGTGGAAAGGAAATCCGACAAGCTATTAAAGAATGGAATCAGCAGCAAATTAACGAGTTCTTATTACAACGAGATATACAGTGGCTTTTTAATCCTCCAGGAGGTTCTCATCATGGTGGTATATGGGAAAGATGCATAAGATCCGTCCGGAAAGTATTAGCTGCCTTACTTCACGAACAAAGATTGGATGATGAAAGTTTGCCTACCTTCCTATGCGAAGTTGAAGCAATTTTAAACGGAAGACCTCTTACAAGTGTCTCAAACGATCCTAGAGATTTAGAAGCACTTACTCCTAACCACCTACTTTTGCTACGAGCTGGCCAGACTTACCACCTGGTATGTTTACAAAGGAAGATTGTTACTCACGAAGAAGATGGCGACACGTGCAATATTTATCAGACCAATTCTGGAGACGCTGGACGCGCGAGTATCTACCTCTTCTTCAAAGCAGACAGAAATGGAACCGTTCCCGTAGGAATTTTCGCGAAGGAGATATCGTTTTACTAGTGAATGACACAACCCCAAGAAGTTCCTGGCCGTTGGCAAGAATTACAGAAGTTTACCCCGACGTCAAGGGTCAAGTAAGAAAAGTTAAATTACGGACAAGATTAACAATATTAGAACGACCTATAACTAAGTGTATTTTATTAGAAGGAGTGGATGAGTTCTAAGTAACTGAACAGATTTGAATTGAAATACTTTGTACAAGATACACTTTATCCATAGTTATTTCAAGGGGCCGGGAATGTAACTTCCGTTAATTAGATATTAACATAAGAATGGAATATTGACATCAGAATATTTAATAAGCTATAAACGCTTGCGCAAGAACCTTTTTAGGTTAGATATGACTAAGAAGCTAAGGTTATAACATGTAGATGTACAAGACATAATTAAGATATTCTACACGATGTGGAATAAATCCCTGGATAACGTCAAAGTGATTGTAAGTATATATATGTATATATGTGTGCGAACGTTTAATATTTGTAGACCATATTGTTCATACTTAAGTGTTTGTAAATTTGTAGAAACCGTACCGTTACGTACCGAACAACGCTATGTGAATAAAGTATTAAAAGGAATGAGTTGATCACAAGTTAATTAAGCAGACTTTAGCATCTACAGCTCCTATCGTGAATGTTGCCTTCCCCCTTCATAGAAGGAGGCGGACGTAGTCGCAATTCCAAAGGAAAAATCTATTCAAGATATTAACAATCATTTGCGACCTATCTCACTTACACCAACTTTGTCCAAACTGGCGGAAGATTTCGTTGTGAACCGTTATCTGAAGCCAGCAGTGATGGAAAGGATCGATAAGATACTGTTTGGTACTGTGCCTAAATCTTGCACCACACATGCCCTCATCTCCATGTCACATACCTGGACCAAAAATACAGACGGAAATGGTTCTACTACCCGCGTTATGTTGTTTGACTTTGGGAAAGCTTTCAATCTGATTGATCATAACATTTTATCGGAGAAGCTTACAAGATATAACATTCCTGAAAACCATTATGTACTGGATTTTAGATTTCCTGAGTAACCGCAAACAGAGAGTGAAACTGTGTAATAACTGCTTCTCAGAGTGGAGTGATGTACCCGCAGGTGTCCCCCAAGGCACGAAGTTAGGCCCCTGGCTCTTCGTAATAATGATAAACGATCTAAATGTATCTGGTGTTCACGATCTCTGGAAGTATGTCGATGACTCAACTATGTCTGAGTCCGTTGGTAGAAATGACTCAAGTTTAATCCAAAATTATGTAGACGAATTTGCCAGAAAGTCAATTGCAGATGGCCTCCAATTAAAAGAAACCAAGTGCAAAGAGCTCCGGATAAGCTTTTCTAGGCCTAACAAAGTATTTGAGCCCATAACTATTAATGGTAAAAATGTCGAGGTCGTAACATCTACAAAACTACTGGGCCTTACCATCTCTAATGATCTCAAATGGAACACTCATATTTCGAATACTTTAGTCTAGGACCTGTATATGAGTTTGTATGCGTTTCATTTAGCACAGGTAATCTCAACTGTTTTAGGGTAAAATGACCATGCCGGTCAACATGGCATATGTGCCAAAACCTGAATCCGGGACGAAAGTCCTGAAAATGACCCCGCCCTGAAACGGTAGTGTCGACATAGTTCTAACTTCAGAAAACAAAAAGCGATAGTCTTTCTGAAGTGCTTATAGTGTTTAGAAGGGTTACTTTTAGGGCTGGTCATTGGAAGAAAAAATTTGTCTAAGTAAATATTTTACAAGAAAATGACCATGCAAATACCCAGGTAAATTGCTAATTATGCATAAAATCACTAATATGCCTGGCAGAAATTAAATATTCTTATTTCCTAAAAAAAAATATCATGGGGTGAAAAACTATGCTTAATTTAATATAAATATTGTTGATATCATAAGGATTGTCATTGTTTTCTTTAAATATAATACATTTTATTTCACTTACCCCCCACGATTTCAGCCATATTTTGCCGTCTTGTTTGCTTTTTATCGCCGAATCTCGCAAATATCATCCAGTTATTGTACTTTTACATAATCATAAATGGCTGAAGAGATTTCAAAGAAGGTTTAATCCATTTTAGAAACAGTGCAGTGTATTTTATCTTCGATATTGTGTCCTTCGATATTTCCTCAAATTGCCGCCATTTTAATGGCTCGCCGCTTCTCTGCCCGATAAATGCCACTTCTTCGTTTTTATATGTATTTAGATTACATTATCCAGGAGTACTTCATTGTAGAATAGTCCCAATCCAAAAATTTGAAATATTATTTGTATTTGGGAGGAAAAAACCTCCCATAATAGTTGTCCTGTCAGAATTCAAAAGAAGTAATTTAAAAGTCACGCGCAAGTTCGCGAAAACACCTCGTGGTTTACATAACAGGGGGGTGAATATTTTCACGAAACGTTTGTTCGCCACCACAGCAACCTAACTAAATGTATTATTTTTGTGTATTTTTATAATTGATGATAAATATACGCAAATATTTATTGTTTTTATCATAATCACAAATATACAATAAATATAATGTACTTAGTTAGGTTGCCGAATGCCGTGGCCTGTGGTGGAGAACAAACGCTTCGTGAAATATTCACCCCCCTGTTATGTAACCCACGAGGTGTTTTCGCGAACTTGCGCGTGACTATTAAATTACTTCTTTTGAATTCTGACAGGACAACTATTATGGGAGGTTTTTTCTCCCCAAATACAAATAATATTTCCAATTTTTGGATTGGGACTATTCTACAATGAAGTACTCCTGGATAATGTAATCTAAATACATATGAAAACGAAGAAGTGGCATTTATCGGGCAGAGAAGCGGCGAGCCATTAAAATGGCGGCAATTTGACGAAATATCGAAGGACACAATATCGAAGATAAAATACACTGCACTGTTTCTAAAGTGGATGAAACCTTCTTTGAAATCTTCTTCAGCCATTTATAATTATGTAAAAGTACAATAACTGGATGATATTTGCGAGATTCGGCGATAAAAAGCAAACAAGACGGCAAAATATGGCTGAAATCGTGTTTTCGTGGGGGGTAAGTGAAATAAAATGTATTATATTTAAAGAAAACAATGACAATCCTTATGATATCAACAATATTTATATTAAATTAAGCATAGTTTTTCACCCCATGATAATTTTTTTTAGGAAATAAGAATATTTAATTTCTGCCAGGCATATTAGTTATTTTATGCATAATTAGCAATTTACCTGGGGTGGTGCATGGTCATTTTCTTGTAACATATTTACTTAGACAAATTTTTTCTTCCAATGACCACCCCTAAAAGTAACCCTTCTAAACACTATAAGCACTTCATAAAGACTATCGCTTTTTGTTTTCTGAAGTTAGAGCTATGTCGACACTGCCGTTTCAGGGCGGGGTCATTTTCAGGACTTTCGTCCCGGATTCAGGTTTTGGCACATATGCCATGTTGACCGCCATGGTCATTTTACCCTAAAACAGTTGAGATTACCTGTGCTAAATGAAACGCATACAAACTCATATACAGGTCCTAGACTACATCTGTAATACAAATCTATACAAAAGTGGGACCCTTGAATCGGGTGGCGGCCGGTGACTTCCGGCTTCACTTTTGTATAGTATGGATGCGTTATCAGTCTTAGTACAGATCAGTGCCTGTTATGTATGCAGCGTATATTGTTGGACGCCATTTGTGGTTTGTTACTATAGGCTATATTGATGCTAGGCTATATTCCTGTAGTTGTTGTATAATTAAAACATAATTCAAGACATAAAGCTAGTGCCAATGCAAATCAGCCATAGGAAAAGTTTCTATTTTATCTCTTCAGGTTTTCATAAATATATTGTCTGCAGGTATGTTAAAAATTGTACGTGTGTATACAATCTATGTTTTTAACAGACTGTAATGAATGATATGAACATAATAGGCCTACTAACCTTTTATCAACATGTAAAGCAGTAACACCAGTCTGGCCAATACGCAACTTTCTCTATCATTCAAGGTAAACAAAACCTTGTTGCTGTATGAATCTGGCAACGATGCACACGTCAACGCCACGTTTCGTAAATCACCAACACCGAGAATCAGAACTTTCAAAGCCGATCCGTACGTAGCGCCTTCGGTTTCGACCAAATTAAAGCAATCAAATGCCGGCACATTCCCCCAATAATAATACGGGCAAGCAGAGGCTATTTGCTCAGCCAATATAAAATAATGTGCGAAAATAAGTTGGGTAGTCGCTTCTATCACCTCCTTATCTTCTCGACAATCAATCTTGTGCCTTTCCCAGTTGCTTTTCTGGCAGTTTGCATCACAATAAAAAGCTCGATAGCATCCAGTGCAAGCTTTCAGATTTGGACCACTTTTTCTACATGTCGTGCATGTCTTGAGGATCGACGCTGGAATGCATTCGGCTTCGTGTCGAAATATGTCATTTCTTTGACATTTCTCACTGCAGTATTTGGCAACTTCGCACAAGTTACAAATAATCCCAACACCAACCGTATTTCCACAACGCCAGCACTCGGAAAATCTAGGCATTTGGATACTGAGAATGTGAATGTTTATAGACTTCCGCACTGATACATGGTCAATTTTCAAGCCCTAGTAACCGCCACGTCAGCCTCAAAAATCACACATTTCAGAACTCCAGGAAGAACCATTCTTGGAATTGAACTGCATAATTATTTTACAATATTCGTTATTACGCTTGATAATTTATGGGGAAAATGTCGAAAGTCAATTAATCTCGTGGTGATCATGCGGAATGCCAAGAGAATCTAAAAAAGCCTACTGAATAACTAAGGCTAAGCGAATACCTTGAATTTGTTCACCTGCAGATAGTCCCAGCCAAAAAAGGGGCGTATCTTGCAGCCATATCAACACCAGTCAATGTCGGATTCTCAGCGAATATTGCATGGCGTTTAAAAACACCTTCGTCTATACATTTCTTTACTGCGACTTCTGCTGGTACATTTTAATGTATCCGGATCTCGATATCTGAATTAATTGTTTTTTTCTCGTTGTTTTTGAATCTACTAGGCCTATGTTCCTTTCACCCGCAAACCGAGCCATGCTTTCCACACGTCTTGAAGTTGTTTGAATTGCATTTCGTCCACGCTTATCAAACCAGCTGCATGTTTTCGACTGCAGATTTTGCGAAGAGATTCATATGTTGCCTGACTGAGCAGTATTGAATACCAAATTTCTGTCACTGCTTTCTCTATTCCTAAATCGCCTCGAAATCATGGTGGAAGACAAATTGTGAAACGATAGTATTGGCGCACCTGGAGGGCGATTTTAACTAAATAGTTGACTTGAAGTGTACATGACATGAAATTTTGACATTATTGTATGTTGACATTATTGTATGTAGTCAATTGGTATTTAGCGTGCGTAGCAGGCGGTACTAGTGGGAACGGGAGAAAGCTGTGCAACCAGAAATATAGACTTTTATTATATTGGAAGCATTTATTTTGGTGAATTGCGCATTTAATTGGCTATTGACGAGGCAGGATTTTCCCATATTGCCCGATAAAACTTCGACGACAGCCGAGTTTCGAAAAAATTATCTAAAAGTCTTTCAAAATATTCAAAACGAAGAAAAATAGAAAATTAGACCTAAAATACGCGGAAAAGGGGTAACTGTTGTGCTTAAAGAACGTTCTCAAATATAAGGTTTTATTTGCATAAGTCGAAAATACAAGGTAAATTTTACAATGTTTGTAACTCCCCAGGCGTGGGGGCCCCCGCCTCTGGACACCCAAACACCCTCCAGTTACGCCACTGCCCATATTGGAGATGTTGTATAGTCGGTGCATGCAGGGATGGATCCAGCATGATCTGGTAGGGGGGGGGGTGCAAATTTTTTAGGGGGCCCTATTTATTTTTTTAGGCAAAAAAATTTCCGCACGAGCACGTTGCATTTGCTTTCCAGTGACTTTACTACTCAGTGCCAAGTCTTGCTTGACTACAGTATTTGAATTGTAATTGTTGTTCACAGTTCGCTTATCATCATGTTATTACTCAAATTACTGAAACTCATTTTGTCTCTAATAATTTTTTGCTTTATCATGAAAAATAGCACCCCCGCATCCCCCTGTAAATCCATCCCTGGGTGCATGTATCTCTAGTTAGTACATAATTCCAGGGACAAATAAGAAAGAAAATAGCTAAGAAGATAAGAAAGTTTCTGTTGCAAATCTTCAGGAGCCGGTTCTACGAAGGCAGGATGGCGCTATACACCGGATGGTGATATTTTCAAAGATTGTAAAAATGCTTAAGAAGCTATAAAACTATGAATATATGGACCTCACAATTACTTGATTTTTTACTAAAGATTAATGCAGGTTATACCAGCCAACGGCCGATTTCAGGGTGTCCACGGGCCTTGAAAATCCTGGTAAGTCCTTGAATTGGAAAAAAATTGCAGAACTGGAAAGCCCTAGAAAATCAGAGGAAGTCCTTGAAAGCCCTTGAATTAATTTCCTTAACCTCTAGCTGTGCCCACATTAGTGATTTTGATTAAAATTACTGAATAAAGTGAATTATTTACGGCAAATCCGTGCCATTTTCAAAGATTTTTCCCAGTTCCATGTCCTTGAATTTATTCAAAAAAGGGCCTTGAAAGTCCTGGAAATTAAAAGTCCTTTAATTTCACCTTCACCAAAAGGATGGACACCCTGTAATCTACGAAATCTTGAAAAAGTCACTATCCGATGGACAACCGGCCCCAGGTATTCATAAAGAAAACCAAAACTTGTTGCTGTATGAATCTGGTAGCGACGCGTTTCGTAAATCGCCAACACCGAGAATTATAACTTTTAAAGCCAATTCGTCTACGCCTTCGTTTTCGACCAAATTCTGAAGGCAATCGAATGCCGGCATATTGCCTCATTGATACGAGCAATACGCTATTTCAACGTCAATGTCGTATAAAATGGCTTGAATCTTTCGTAACAATAAATAAATCAATATATGAAACTTACATCGTTAAAGCATAGCCTATCAACGTGGGAAGATGGCTGTGAAACTCATTATAATAACAATATAACTCATTTATCTATGACTATGTTTGTCAACGTTTATTCATAAATCTAGTTCTTCACCGTCACGTACGTATTGTATTTTTGCCCAACTAACCAATAGCAATGTTTTAGGAAAGTTACCTATCCGTGACTCAAACAATAGGGTAAATTGGAAATTGCTATTGGTGGATTTGGCAAAAATGCAATACACAAAGGGGCGGATCCAGCTCCTGAGCTGACTGATGCATACATAAGACCTCGCATTTGTAGGAGGGTCCGCGGGTATCCTCCCCCGGGAAATTTTGAAATCTAGGACCTTGGAAATGCGATTTCCTGAAATCCGATTGCAACTCTTTTGTTGCAATTCCTATATCAGAGTCACAAAAATTTTGCTGCATTTTTGGAAAAGCACGTAAAAAACTTGAATCTATATCGCAAAAAAAACATAATTTCTCCACATAAGAAAAAAAATTTGGCTTGTACAAGTGTAATAGCAGCAGTGGCAATAAGTCTCTATTTAAAAAATAGTCAGTACTGTGCTTCTTGTAGCCTTAACTTTTCTATTGAAAAACATTTCGGCAGAAATGTGTAACAAAGGTGTATACAGTGTGCTCCACTAGTTGCATTGCTGGACTCAGAAGACAGTGTTATTATGTTGTTTATGAACGGCACCTTTCCCTATAAATTTCCAAAGTTCCATGAGTAAAATCTTCTAGCATTAGAATTTAAAGCAAAATAACATATGGTGCATAAAGATTAAAGGTATTTTGTGCTTTACTGGGTAAATATATGCAACTCTGTCTTATGCTGCTAATCTTACTCTGCATGGACAGTGTGGTTGGCATCAGCTGGTCAATTTCATTTGCCCCTAGGCTAGCTGCCTTTCAGATGAACTGCATGGTGAATAGCCCACACTCTGAATACTGAGAATATTGCCTTGTGGCGAGGAAACCAGTAAACTAACACACAACAAACACTGGGTTTAAAATTATATAAATAAATAACTAGGTACACACACGTTTTCAATCAATAGAGACTGTGTGTAAATTAATTTAATGAAGCTATCTTAATTGGAAATTGTTTGTTAAATTAACCAATACCAAACTGTACAATGATAAACATGACATAATTTAATCATATGTCTTCTATCTGTCCCCTTTTGCCTGCCTTTCAACTAATATTAATACAGTACTCCTTTAAGAAAGGTTGCACAGTAGTATTGATGAATATTTAATTTTCCCTATATTATCTTGTCAAATATATCCATACACTTATCAATGGTGAACGTAATCCTCAGGGTGGCATGCTGGCTATCCAAAACATAATACTGGGATAATTAGCATTACAAATATATAATTTAATTAAGGTTACAGAACACCTTTGAGTGTTAATTTTGCCTAAAATTTTTTTATTGGTTTCAATGAAAGCATTAGACTAGTTCTACTATCTGACCAAGTTTGAACGAAAAATGTTGAAAACTCGCAGAGTTATTTAATAAAATACATTTCGCTGCAATAAGAAAAGCATTGAAAATGTAATATTCAAATTCAATTTTCTCACGAAACATTTTACGGTAATTACTGATTTTCAAACGAGTTATGCTCCTGCGGGTTTTAACCAATTTTTCTCAAATTTTCACAGGACATAGCTAAATACGTCAGTTTCAAAATTGTGTTCGGCTTTTTTAAAATTTTGGATATTTTAAAAATAAAGAGCAATTCACTCAAACAATTCAGAAATATATTGCAGTCGTCAAAGAAATCGCCATATCAGCGGAATGACGAAATAAACAAAAATTTCCGAACACAATTTTTTAGAACAACTATTTTACTGTATAAAAATGATATTTTCATAAATATAACTTAAAACCAGCAGGAGCACAACTCAAAAGCGTAAAGGTACCGCTATTTAAGATTTTCCTGAATAATTCTTACATTATTTTATTGATTGTTAATTTTACAACTTTACCATATTTTGCATGCACTGGAGAACATTTGGCGAAAATTTGATGGAAATCGGACTGATATTGAGCGCGCAGTAGCGATTTTCCGCAAAACGCCGAAAAGGGTGTCCTGTAACCTTAAATATATTTTCCAAACTATCCCACTTTTGTGAGCAAATTTCATAATTATAACCTGTATACACCAGTTACAGTATATACAGTATTTATACCGTCCATCATTTTATTATCGATTCTAAGATTAAATCTGTCAGGAGAATATCATATGATATATACAGCTTATATCAAATTATATTTGCACAGTAAACACTCAACTATGGTAGGCGAGCAAATTCAGGTAATCATCTTTGTTTGCAAAATATCCAGCTAGTGTATAGTAATTGCCCAATAACTCAGGCAATGCAAAGAAAGACCCCGTCACAAGGCATGCCAGCTCATTTCCATATAAAATGAAAATAAAATAGGAGATACCACTGGAAGTTGCAACTTGAAACAATTACCTTTCATGTAAACTCCCCCTTAGTCTTCTAACCAATGTTGCATTAATTACTATTAGAAATCTCATTAACCTGCAATTATGCTCTGTACAGTGGCGGCGCCAGGCTTCCAAATTTGGGGGGGCATTTGAGGGGCAAACTCAAATTTTTGGAGGGCAAGATAGAATTTTTTCCCCCTCAAGGAAATTGGCCCCCCACTTCAAAACGTGGCGATATTCCTAGAAATATCGCCCCCTGGGGCGAATATCATAGGAATATCGCCTCCCAGGGGGGTGGGGCGAATACCCTAGGAATATCGCCCCTCTTTAGGACATTCGCCCCCCATATATGCGATGTGGTTTATTCAAATAATTTGGTGATACTTTCATATTATTATTGCCTTACACGTTTGAGAATTTAACTCTGCAAAACTAAAGCTTTTTTGTCTTTTGTTGAAACGTATTATTGGAGTATTGGCAAGTTTTACCATTCAGAGATTTACAAACTAATATTGAAACTGTAAAAAACAGTTTCATGTATACGCGCATTCACTAATGAGTAATGACAACTTATAAGCCATACATTTTCCGATAACGACAGAACGCTTGTGTAGCCTTTAGTCGCTCTTAGTGACTAATAATTTTTTTGAGGGGGGGCAAAAGGGGGGGGCAAAAATAATTTGGGGGGGCATTTGCCTCTCCTTGTCCCCCCCCCCTGGCGCCGCCACTGTTGATTGGATACTAAATATAAGCTTCGTTGTGAGTGGAAAGCTATCGGATTAAGGTTTGTGTTGTTGTTCTGTTTGCAGTTTCTTTTGAGACGTTCCTGTTGCATTTTTTAAAATGTTTTACCTTTTATGCTTGTATGCATTTTTTCTGTCCCTGCCCTCCCCCCTTCACTTTTTTAATGGTCCGTACCTAAAAGTTTGAAGTTTGCCGGTTCGTCGTCAAGAAGAAATTAAAGACACTACCATGATTATTTACATTTCAAACTTTTAAATGTTTTTCAAACTAAAAAATCCAAATGTATCAAAATAAAAAATACAAAAATCGAAAAATACAAAAATTAAAAAGAACAGAAACCAAACAATACAAAAATAAAAAAATACAAAAATCTTAAAATATAAAAATCAAAAAATACAAAAATCAAAAAATATAAAAATCAAAAAATACAAAAACGTAAAAATACAAAAACTGTTTTTGTGCTGTCGTGTCTGGGCTGCCGTACGCCATGTTATATAGTGGCCCATGTATCTAAATTACTCTGAGTATATGACCATATTCGGAAAGATATGGGGCCGGTTGTATAAAACTCTTAATCACTTTTTAATCATTATTTTGTAGTTAAATAGTGATTAACTCTCAAATACGTGCTTCTTATTGGATGGTAATCACTTTTTTATACAACCGGTCCCAGGCTTTCAGCTGTGGAATGATATGTTCTCCATGCCGAATGGATAAAAAATGAGCAAATCCGATAAATAGAGAATATTAATAACATGGTTGCGCGGAAATATAGAACTTACAGTATTTCGAGTGTTGAAGAGAATATTGCTCATGAGTGAGCGTAGCGAACGAGTTTTTATTATATAAACAAATTATTATGATAAACAAACGACAATTCATGTATACTGAAATTTAAAACAAATATGTAAATAGTGACACATTTTAAATAACAATGTTCAGTTAAAAATGCCGTCTAATGTCATATCAAAGTGCAGAAATGTACGTATATAAAACTAGTAAATAAAAAACGAACAAGGTCTCTGATTGGTCAAACCTATTTCCTACGCGCTTTTTGATTGGCTAATTTGGCTTGCAAAAATGATATTTTCACGCCTAAAAATATCGCATTTTTTACGTGTGTTTAAATACGATTTTTCTCAGTGGCCAAAAACTTTATATGACACTTATGTTTATGTAATAAAAAATGTTACTGTTAGTTAATCCCCTTTGGTTCCCCTTTGGGAATTTCACTTAATTAATAAACTACGCGCATATTCATAAACATCGAATAGGAATAAATCTCAGCTTTCACAAGTTCGTGATCAATATATTGCTTTTTATTTTGTTATGCACTGCTTTAATTAGGCATTAAACACAGAGGTAAAAATATGCGATTCTGACTAACATTTTTTATCGGACTTGTACCTGCTTATTTTTCCTCCACTTGACATGAAAAACATGTCATTAAATAGCTAAAAGCCTGATCTTTCCGAATATACTAAAAAGTTCGTTCATTCGCCCAGTAAGTCACGTATACAATAGCGCGCTGAAGTTTGATTACCTTTTTTTATACGCACTCATATAGCTACTCAGCTCATCTCGAAAATGTGTAGAATCTACCTTCAAATGCGATTTGATCATTTGAAGTTAGACGTTTGCTGTTAGCATTGTTAAATAAGGTCTCTAATATCATGCGTAAACGTATTAAATAAAGTCTCTGATATCATGAGATTTTCATTTCGACTTCTAGGTTACTGGGTTTGTCATGAAATTCCCTGTTTACGATTCCAGATTTTAACACAATGAAAACTTAATTGTGTCGCTAATACACAATGATGTATTAGGACTTCAAGTCTTCGAGTTATTAATTCTGGCTATAATTCAGTTTTCGATCAAATCCATCGCCCCCAATTAAAATGGTATTACTTTTGGTGGTTGGTATAGGGAGTTTGACTCTCTATACTCAGAAATGAGTCATCTATACATGAAACAACTTGGTTTTATAAGTCCACGGCAGATTGGAATTTACAAATGTTCTGGGAGTTCCATGCCAAGAAAAAGTTCGAGTAATATTGCAAATTCCGCAGTAAAGGCGACGGGAAAAGAAAATAACCAGGCAAAATTAGATAAAGTACTACACTGCAATTCGTCCGACGGTTTCATTGGCATTAAACGGGAACGACGAAAGTTGAAACAATTTTTCCTACCGGGAATAGCTGATGACGTAAATGAAAGTCAAATAATTTCGTATCTTGCTAAACGAAATATAATCCCGAATAACATTTTTATATTCCGAAGCCAACGTAGAGGTACTGTTTCTGCAAAGATTTGTATTCCAGTAGCTTTAGCTTCAGTCGTTCTTGAAGAAAATTTTTGGCCGAAATATGTTCGCGGTAAACCATGGCAACATAAAGTAGACAAGCGAAAACCTGCCGTACAGGCGACCATTAAGACCCAAGCGGGAAATTACTCAACATATGTTTAATGGCAAGTACAATTCCAGTACGAATTTCATATCGAGCGACTTATCGTAGAGGTCGCTCTTCGGTAACCAGGAACTGCAATAATCTGATTAGAATTCAGGCCTTAACTTCTCGGGAAAATGAAAATGAGGTCGGGACAACGGCAAAATATTTTGTTCCTTCTGTTTTACTTTCCAATACAATGTCTCTAACCCCTAAAATAGATGAACTGGCTTTTGTCATGAAACAAAGCCACTGTGACATCGCTGCTATCACCGAAACATGGTTAAAGGAATCAATTCCCGACGTTTCAGTTAACATAGAGGGATATCAATTACTTAGAAGGGACCGTAAGCATAAAGAACATGGGGGTGTTTGCCTTTACGTAATCAACCATATTCAGTGTAAAATCTTGGCTTGTCCTTATAATACGGATCGCAAAGTACTATGGGCATTGTTGCGACCGAAAAAACTCCCTCGCGGATACTCAAGCATCATTGTTGGTGTTCTGTATCACCCCCCGGATGCAAATAATAATGAAATGCTTCACTATTTAAGAACGTCGATGGAATATTTTGAGGCAAATTATATGAGCTGTGGAATAATTCTACTGGGTGATTTTAACAAACTTGATTTTAAATAAGTGTTTTCAATTAAAACCTATTATTAACTTTCCCACCAGAGACTTGAATATACTTGATCAAGTTTTTACTAACTTGAAGGAATATTATAGTTCACCGGTTGCAGGCCCCCCTTTTTGTTTGTCTGATCATATTACTGTTACCATTTTCCCGGCAACACGAAAAGCGCAACAAACACAAAAGAAAGTGGTGAAAGCTCGAGACAAGAGACCTAGTAACGTTGCAAGTTTATGCCGCTTTTTAATATTCCATGGGAATCCCTGCTGTTGCTTCACCAATCTAGTGAAGATAAAAAAAGACAGCAAATTCGGTCACTTTGGCGCCAAAAAATTAAACACAAGCTAAGAACATGCTAGGAAGTTTTTTGAGGAGATTGTGCTATAAGGATCTCAAAACTGTAAAAACATTGAAAATATGCCATAGCAGTGCAAAGATATGGTGCTTAAAAGTCTGACAAATCCGCCATTTTGTTACTAAAAATAGATTTTTTTCGAACTTTGAATCGCCATATCTTGTATTGTCAATGTTGGCGCCAAAGATGGCACGTCATTTTCCCGCCAAAATGTAACAAATTCAAAAAACAAAAACGATAGGATTTTTAGGAATGGCAAGTGCTATCTGTTACGATATGTACGGGCTACCTGTACCGGTAGCGCCCACGGTGTGGTGCGTCAGCGGAGATACGATATATAAACAACATTTACGAACATATATCTAGGAGTCATTCGATTTAGACATTGTACGTTAGTTATATAAGAGATAATAAAGAGCAAAACATGGTGTCAGGAATGGGATCTTTTAACTGAAGCCGTGTGGATATATTTTATTGAAAAAATATCGCAACACGAATGTTAAAAGTGCAAATATTTCGAAGATTTACGTGACCCAGTAGGCCGCCATATTGGATTTTCTGAATTCGGAAAAAAAAAAAAAGAAAAAACATGGCAACGTACCAGATTCCAGCACCAGAACCAATGAATTGCAATGGCGATGTCGCAAACAACTGGAAGAGTTTTCATGAAGCATATGAAGATTATTTAATAGCAACAGGCTTAGATCAGAAAGACAAGAAAGTTCAAGTGGCAACGTTGAAAAGTCTAATGGGAACTGAGTGCAAGAAAATACTTAAAAGACTTCAATTATCAGAGGCCGATATGAAAGATCCAGCTATTATTCTTGCAAAGCTGTAAGACCATTTCGTACCAGTACGAAGTATTCTGTATGAGAGATATATTTTCCATAACACTGAACAGCAAGTACATGAAACTATTGACCAGTTTCTTATAAAGCTCAGGCAATTAGCTGAGCCATGTAACTTTGGAACACTAGAAGATCAGATGGTGAGAGACCGTCTGGTTCTTGGCTGTCGGGACAGTGCGGCCAGGACCAGGCTTTTCCGCGAGAAAGATTGCACTCTCAAGAAAGCTATAGAGTCCCTTCGTATAAGTGAGACCACAAGTGAACAATTGAAGAAAATAGAGAGAGAAGACAATCAAGAGCCTGTCAATTATGCTCAGAGACAAGATGCAAAGAAACAGAATGTTTCAAA